TGGGGTGGGGAGGGTGCAGACATTGTATGCCACATTTTAATGCAGGAAGATACCTGGTTCAGGGCTTCTGAAGATGACTTTCAGGTAATAGGCTGTCATTTCTATCAGAAGCAGAGGTGTGCAGATTTAATGCATTAAAGCCACAGTAATTAAGTCTAGTGACATGTCCAGACACACTGACAGATTTGCAAGGTCCCTGTTCATGTACTTTGAGTTTCTTTTGATGGTGCCACCATTCTTCACTAAGAACAGTTCTAACCGTACCATTTTAGAATGAATAATAGCTGCATTTCGGCTTACCTGTTGTTAAGGCGTTTATGATGGAGATGAAGGAGAGCCAGTTTGGAGTGGTAGGTAAAGGCACCAGGCTAGCTGGGCAACCTTGGGCCAGTCACTCCTTCTTAGCCCTCGGACAAAGGCAAGGGCAAATCAATTCTAAAAATCTTGCCAAGAAAACTGCAGGGACTTGTCCAGGCAATTGCCAGGTGTTAAGACTGGCTTGAAGGCAGAAATAAAAATAAATAAAAGTGGAGATGAACAGCGCTTCTCCTCTCTCCTTGAGAATTCAAGGGCCCTACTCTCCCTTGCCAATTTATTTCATCAGAGCAATCTGGTAAGATGAAAGGCTGAGCGAAATATTGCCACCAGTGAAGACTAACATCCATTAATCTGGGGTCACCTAGCTTGATTGAGGACTGGGAGCTTTAATAACACAGTGGTCTGGGTCTTCCTTACAGACTAGAGGAAACTAGGTGTACATAGATGCCAAAGGAATGCTATAGTTCTTCAGAATAACAGCAGGACAGTGTTTTTCTGATGCTTAGCGGTAAGGAAGTCCTGGAGAAATCCTGAAACGGAGAGAGGTAGATCTCAGAGGAGAAAGGGTCTTGATTATGAGAATCCATGCCTTTAACAGCCTCTCAGGGACAATGAATGCACAGTCTTTACCCTTGCTTGTAATTATGCGTAGCAGCAGCACAATCATTCAAGCAGGTGGTGGGGTTGGATCAGCTCCAAGACCAAACTGCTGATTTACAAGGCTACCCCTCCCTTATATTGTACGATCAGCTGCACAATCAATATGTCATTAGTTGCCTGCAAACTGCATTATATAGATTCAGGCTGATGATCTTCAAATGGTATTTCACGTACACCTTTATTCTAGCTCCTCCTTTAGGATAGCGTAATTGTTATAAAGAAGGGTTCCTAAAACTGTCAGTCTGCAGAGCAGTGCTACAAGGAAAAAAAATGTATATAATAACTAGATATTTTCCCACCCTGGCTCGCAGCAGTCAGGCCATTTGTCATTCGGAGATCATAAAGTTCACTTAACTGTTCTATTGCTCTAATGAGATGTCTGCTGCAAGAGTTTCAGGCAAATAATTCTTGATGGAAATTCATTTATCTGCCATTATTGCTTACTTAATCTTACCTTCTAGGACTAATGTTATGGACAGGCAGAAAAGCTGCACAGTGTAATGTAGAACACAAGCCATATACTGTCACTTGTCTTTATAAACAACAGCCAGGGAACTAGGCATTGTGGTTTGAAAACATTCCTGAAAATTCTGTTGAATTTTCAGAAGCTAGTAAAGTTGCTGGGTGAGTGGGGAATATTTCATGAAATTTTCCATGTCCACCGTTAATACAATAACAGGGCTGAAAAACAGACTAATACATATAGAGATCTACTTATAAAACAGACATAATACAAGCCATACTTAGCATAAATGATAGACTTCAGCTTTTCTTACTGGAGATACTAGGTTTCCTTAGTACAGAATCTTGACTCAATTTTTTAAATATATAGAAGGCAGTTTATAGATTAGTCATGTTGGTGATCAAGCAAATAAAAAGAAAAAAAATCTTATTAGTGAGTATCTTAACCTGTTGCAGTCATTCATATAGAAAGAATTCATATGCAGACTCCTACTATTGCCACCTAAGTGGCTTAAAACCAACCAATGGTTGGAAATGCTGTTGATCTATTTGGTAGCATGTTTAATTCAGTGTCCATACTGCTCAACAAGCCGTTCTGCAGTACTGTAAATGTATAAGTACTAACTTACTTTCAGCAAGCCCAGAATGCATATTAAAAAGAAGCGTGGCATCAATTGTGCTCTTGTGGACACCATCTTGACTTTTTTGACCTCTCTTGAAGACACCCCTAGTTTTCAGTTTAGAAAGTCCCTGCATTTTTCCTGCTAATTCAGAGGGAATCCTGATAACTTTCCATCACTTACCTAGGAAAAATGGTCTTACTACTTACTGACACTTGCTAATATGGGCTGATTACAAGCAGGTGCATGTACACTAAATCCCTAATTCCTAAAAGCAACAGACTGAGCCAAAACCCAGAAGCAAAATTCCTTCCTTACAAGCAGCTGCTCTATTCAGGGGGAATCTCTACCCCATCCTCCTGCAAACTATGGGAGTTTATGGGAATTGACATTTAACATATCCAGAGAGCATCACCCTCTGGAAACAGTTGTGCTATTCTTTGGGGATTGCAAAATGCTTTAGCTGTTACCTGCTCAGAGGAGAGGATTTTACACCGAGGGTAGCCTCCTCCAAGCTCAAAATCACTTCCAGAAGGAAAGGACCAAAGAGAGAAAGTTTCTCCCCAGCCTTCCTGTTTACACCTCCTCTCCCCCACCACAAACTGTGGGATAGTCTTGTGATCCCCGGCAGGAGACAAGAAAATATTTAGAGGCAAGGCAATTGAAACTCTTTCCACAAGGCAGAAGGCGAAACTGTGACTTTTGGAAACTTCCTCCTCCCTATCACTAGGATCTCTTGGCTGGGGGTGTGGGGACGGGGGAGAGAGAAAGCAACTGCTTGGGTAACTGGCTTAGATGCACGTCAAGAGAATTCTGGGCGGGTTGCTCAGGGCCAAACTAGGTGGGCCAGTTTTTCTAGTTTTTTTTTTCCTGCTTTGCTTGCCCATTCTTGGATGGCGTCTGTCCATTTTAACCCGTTGAAGCCTCAGAATTGCTAGCAGGGCATAGCTGGAGGTCATGTTTAGTGAGACGGAGGTGAAGGGAGGATTGGGGGAGACAGCAAGACTGGGCTGTGCAGAGGTGGCTGACAGGTGGGAGAAAGGCCTGGAGCGGATGGCAAATCGGACCGCGCTCATCCCTGGCTTTCATTGCCTGTGATTTTCTTTTCACTGTTTCTCAGATCAACCTTCCTCTTCTCTTGGTTCGCTCACCTTCTGAAGGAGATAAACACCCGCCCAAGATCTACACCACGTCTCCACTCCAGTGTGTGTATGTACCTTCAAGTCAATGTCGACTCCTGGTGACTGCCTGGACAAGACCCTGCAGTTTTCTTGGCAAGTTTTCCGGAAGTGGTTTCGCCATGCCTGCTTCCCAG